ATGCTTATGCTTGCACTCTGGGTGATTGCTGAGGATGACAAATGAGAACGACATTGCCAAGACTAACCAGTCTTCAAGTTCAGTCGGCGTAAGGCTGTTTCCTTGTTGATGCAGTGGAAGCATGCGAGACGTGAGAAGTGACATGACATCTGCTGTCTGTAAGCCTGGCCAGCATACTTTGACTATGGTGATGAGTTATTTTGGATTTCTGTAGACTCTGACCCTTGATAGGTGCAGGTGTGATTGGGCCTGTAACACAGCGGAAGCCACCTTACACTTGCTGTCTCGGCCAACGGGCATGGTGCCATTAGATGGTGGTCTTTTGGGACAGCTGGACCCCTGTAGGTGGAGGACTTTCCCATCTGCTGACATCCTTCTACCAGACCCCTTTAAGCCCAGTCTCAGTCCTCCCCTATGAAGTCTTCCTTCCAGCCTGCGTAGGCTTCTGTCCATTCAACTCCTATAAACTTAATATTTACGTCACTCATTTTCGTCTGTTAAAAATTCTTTGCCAATTGTATACGTGTATATAAATGAATGAATGAATGAATGAATGAATGAATGAAGAATGAATGAAATAAATAAATAAATAAATAAATAAATATTTTCTTTAGTTAGATTATAAGGACCAAAGTGCTTCCTTGCATCTCTTCACAGTGGTAAGATGGTGCTAACTAGGAATGAAACTGATACCCCAAATACTCTGAATTGATTTCTTTTTTGGTTTTTAGGACTGTAAAGAGATTAAAGGAGAGCGGTTTGCTCCTTGGGGAATAAAGCTTTCTGTGAACAATGTCTCGGCAGAGGACAGAGGGAACTATGCATGCCAAGCCAGACTGACACATGCAGGGACACAGTACAATATTTTCAACAGGATTTCTGTGAACACTAGTAAGTGCTTAGCTCCATTGCCTGACTTTCTCCTGGCTTTGCGTAAGATGGCTCTCTGACTCCGAGAGAAATGATTCTTGATCTCGATTTTCCTGAAGGTTAGTGGGCTCTGGAAGTTGCCGTTATTAGAATCAGAGGGGCCAAAGAGGGAGGCAAAAGGGCACAGGTGGTTTAGTTTCCTCATCTGAAAAAACAGAAGATTCAAAATTCTTGGTTTATTTATGAAAATTAAGTGAGATCACGTATGTAGAGTAGCCATTGGGGTGCCTGGCCAAGTCTAGATATTCAGTAAATGGTGGATATTATGAATATCGCTTTATTTTCCTCAGCCTTCACTACCATGGCTCTTCCAGTAGACCATTCCAGCTTTGCCTTCCCTTGGCTCAGGTGCTGCAGTGTGTCCAATGCTCATGGAATTTTAGTTCTTAAATATATGTGCTGGAGATTTGAAAGCAGAATCTTAGCGGTAGAAGAGACCTTGGAAATAATTTAGCTCAAGCTATTAATTTTACAGAGGTCCAGGAGGGACAGACTTATTGATGCTTACAAAACTGGTTAGTCACAGAAACAGGGCCAAAACTTGGGCCTTCAGGGCCCAGGCAAACATTTTCTGAACCCATTCAGCAAGGAGTTCCTGCTATGTTGCCTTTTGCTTTTTTCCCAGTAGAGGGTTGTTTTCTATATTCACTTATCTAAGTGGAAAGAACTTAAGGCTGAGTATGTCTTCTACTTGGACCTTTATGTTTGTCACTAATTTCTGTCAGACTTCACGTGCTGGGGGATACTTAGTGATTTCTTGATGATGTGGCTCTTTTAGGGGATGTGTTCAGCATGGATGGCTTCCTGTTTTCCACCTGGGGCCCCTTAGTTATGAAAATTAATTGCATTAGATTTATGACTTATGCTTTGGGATTTTGCTAACTGCTATAATCCTATAAGTGGGCACTTTCTGTGTCTCGTGCACAGAAAGTGAACCCCTGACATCAACCCGGCGCATGGCCTCCGTTAAGCACAGATCCACATATGGACTGGATGACTGACTCCTACCATGCTCTATTTTTATCAGGAGCTGAGGAAATTCTTGGAAAGGAGAAATTTCAAAGGCAAAATGAAGAATAAGACCTCAAGAGATCACTGATTCCAGTAGTCTACATTTCACATCATTGCAATAAACATTTATTTATGATCTATTATATGCCAAAATTGTTAGAACCTGATAATTAAAAAGAAAAAACATGGTTTCTTCTGCCTAGTGGTGGAAGAGCTAGAGATATAAATGGATCATTTTAATATTGTGTAGTAAGGATAGAGTTATGGACAGTTATAGGAGCAGGAAAAGAATCAGAAGTAGCCACAGGAGTGGCAAGTAAAGAGTCTTGAAGGCTTTCAAGAGAAAATGTCTCTCAGCTGAATTTTAAAGGATGAGCAGGAGTTACAGAAATAAAGAAGAGTGAAGAGGGGCAGAGAAAATACTATAAGGCAAAACATAGATGTGTCTGCCATTGTAGTTGATGTTGGATCTAAAATGAATCTGGTTAGAGCATCAATATGAAGTGAGGCATGGTGGAAGCTGAGGCCATAGAATCAAACTGGGTCAGGGTCAAGGGGACCCTTTATATGCAGGCTTTATCATGCAGCAGCAAAGAGCCCTGGAATGGGTACAAGCACAAAGTGACAAACCTGCACTTGGGATGGGTGAGCTCAGCCTTGAGATGGTTTGAGCAGGCGTTGAAAGGGGTCCAGAGGCCTGGAGGTCACTCAGGCAGCTGCAGCAACATCCAGAAGAGTGCTGAAAATCTGAACTTTGATGGAAGTGGTAAGGATTCTTCTTCAGGCTGTCATTTAGTGACTCTTTACTGAATGCCCAAGACCAGGTCCTGTGCTAAGCAGAGAGAACATGGTGGTGGGGAAGATAGCCCATGACTACTGCTCTGATGGAGCTTTGAAGTCTGAGCAGGGAGGGAGGCAGAGATTAATCAAATAATCTACTAGTGAGCAATTACCAAGGAGATTAATGCAATGAAAGAAAGGAAAATAGGATATCAAGACACGAGGACCTGTTGAGAAGACAATGGGCCAGTGAAAGATTCCTGATAATAGTGATGCTGACAGTCAGGAAGCATTAACTGAGAAATGGAATGGGTGAGATTTTTTGAGACTGAGGGTGCAACCAAAGCGAAGACCCCGTAACAAGACAGACCATGCATGGTATGTTTAAAGGATGGAAAACAGGTTGACTGAAGCAATGCTGAGTAAGGGAGATCATGGTAGGAAATGATGTTGGAGAAGTAGCTAAGGGCCAACATTGAGTAAGAACATGCAATCCAAAGTGAGGAGTACAAATTTTATCCTAAGAACAGTGGGAAGCAGCCAGAGGGTTTGAGAGCAGGACAGTAGCATGATGTGACTTACGTTTCTGGAAACTCACTGTGGCTGCTGTGCATAGAATGATCTCTATAGAGATAGCAGTAGTGGTTAGTAGACAAGTGCGGCAATGCAGGTGAGACATCGGGTAGGCACAGGCAACATGATGGCACTGAAGATGGAGCGAGTGGATGGATTTGAGGCATTTTAGGAGGTAAAACCCACAGGTCTTAGTGTTGGACTGAATCTGGGGTTAGGGATGTGGCAAGGTCAAGAAAGCTTTGCCTTTGGGCGTATACAACTAACTGGATGGTAATACTATTCAATGAAATAAGATAACTTTGGAGAACAATTTAGGAGTGAGATCATGGGTTTTGTCATGGCTAAGTTGAGTACTTGGTGCTCTTGAGGCGCTCACGTGGAAATATGGAGTTGGCCTTGGTCTCTGTGGGTCTGGAGCTTAGAAAAAGTGCTGCAGATTCAACTTACAATGTCACTGGCCTTTAAATGCTGTTCGAAGAGGTGGATGCCAATGAGAGTGCCTACGGAAAGAGTAGAGAGTAGAAAATCGAAGGTTTAGGGGTAAAGAAAGAGGCACAGACTGAGAAATGTTAAGAAGTAAAATTAGTTTGACTTGGTGATTGATAATTTGAAGAGGGTGAGAGAAAAACTGTTGCCAAGAATGACTTTCAAATTTTAGTTGTGCGTGATCTGTGGAAGGTGGTTCTTTATCTAGCTGGTGATGACCTCTGTTTGAGATGTACTAAATTCGAAGAATTTCTAGAATCTGCAAATATTATGGCCATCGTGAAGAACATATGTTTTTGCATTTTCCAAGCTTCCTTTTTATAACTTTTTATATTCCACCTAAATGTATAGGAGGAGCATGGGACTAACAAAATTATTAAATTTTGGTGGACAGATGGAGAATGGAAGAAGTAGAGAAAGACAAAGCGGAGATATAAGGGAGATAAGTACAGAGTCAGATGTAGGAATGAAGAAGTACAGTAGGGGTATGCAGTAGGGGTAAAGGAGGAAAGAATATGGAAAAGCAAGGTTGGAGGATCGAGGAGTGGAACTGGGACCTAGGCAAGAGATTTGTTCATAGCCACCTCTTAAGAAATATATTTGGATTATTAGATAATGAGATTTTATTGTACAATTTCATTAGTTTATCTTTATACCAGATATATGATGGGAAAGAAAACTCTCTTGGTAGCCTGGATTTTAGGTTTTTTTCCTTAGCAATTCAATTATTTCCGATTTAAAAACATGCATTTGTGGAGTCATATTTTGTCACACCATGAGTTTTGATTTTACTTGACCAATGTTTGTTGAAAGTCTGCCCTGTGCCATGTTTTTTAATGCTATGTTCTCATTAAAGAAATTGCAAATGTATCACATGTGATTCTTATTCAATTTCATGTGGGTATGATTTTTTAACAGAAAATGTTGGACGTGGAGGAAGAATCCCTAAAATAACTTATCCAAAAAACAATACAATAGAAGTACAGCTTGGTGAGTAATGTTATAGGAGCCATTGAAATCACTGAGGGTAAAAGTCCATGTGTGCATATATCCTTTTGGGTTTTTGAATTTCAAAGATGAAGACACACACCATGCGCATTCAGTTTCCAGCACTGAATGTACCTGAGCTCATCAGGAGAGGCATCAAAACCAAAATCTAGAGAGCTGAAGCCTTGGGAAGTTGCAGTATCAAAGCTCTGACAGTGAGCACTGTGGGTCTAAATGATTAAGTCCATTTATGCCAAGGTGATGAAAATGTAAAAATTATTCCTGAAAGAGGTGATACTACTATAATGTTGATCGAGAATTCTGAATTATATTATCTCACCCTGGAAAGTATATTAAAGGAGTAGGAAAAGTTATGTTATATTCTTTATTTTACATAGGAAGAGACCAGTAAACATCATCTCTCTTGTAAAATAAAAATATGTTGAGTTACTTCTGAGGAAAAAATAGTAACTTAAACAAAGTTTTTATTAAAAGCTAAATGCTCAGGTTGGGTTAAATATTAAAATCTGATAACATTCTCTTCTCAAAAGATATAGATCTAAAAATACATGACCTAGAAGATTAAATATAAATTCATAAACAAGATATATCTTGCAAAAATTAACACCAATAATCATGTTGACACCAATAATTAACACCAATAATCTTTTAATCTGACAATATACCTTTCAATGTAAAAATTGAATGGCAAATTGAACCATTTGATACTAATAAAAATTACAATACCTAACGCTAATAAAAAAAAGTATGTGCCAAGTAGTAGTGCATCAGAACATATAAAGCTAAAACTCAGATATACGAAAACAATGCAAGATAACACAACTGTTTCAGTTATTGTGGACAAGTTTAACATACGTTGGTTTTGACACATTGGCTAATCAAATAAGGGTCTAAAAGATTCTGGTAGTATAATAAGAGTAATGTATTGTATAAATCACACTCATAAACACCTATGAAAAATCAAGACTCCCAGAAGAGGAAATTATACAGACCGTATGGTGCAATCACAGTGCAGCAAGTCTAGAAATTTACAAAGTAAAAACAATGATAAACCTCACATGAATAAAATTTACTTATTTTAAAAATTAAGCAACAACAAATTTATCTTCTAATTATTTGCTTTGTTGGTTAGATTTAATCCATAGTCATAGAATATTTACAAAATAACGGCAGTGAAAACATATTAAACTTCATGGAAAGTGACCAATGCTAAACTCTAAACACGTTAATCTTTAAATATCATTAGCATTAATAATGAGTATAGAAATAATTAAAATACATAAACTAACCATTTAACTCTTTAAAAGGGGCAACTAAATAATCCTCTGAAAGAAAATAACAAAGATAAAAGTAAAAACTAATGAATTTATTAAAAGATAAGTCCCAGAGTTGTTTCTGAGATAGAAGTGTTCAGGGCAGGGAAGAATAAGAACAGAAGAAAGAGAAATTTCCCACAAATCTAATCCCCCAAATGTAGAGGAACTCAAATGTAAAAGGCAGAAGTGAGAAAGGTTATAAAGCAACAAGTGGAAAGGAGATGAAATCTGTTTAAAAGACTTTGAACCTACATGTTTTAAGAAGTCTTGTCAACTTTTAAGAAAATAATAATGCCCATAATAGAGGATATTTGTCTACATATCACTTACCATGTGAATACTCTAGTGACTTTCATAAACACCTAGAAAAGATAAGTATATCTGTTATTAACTCTCTTAATTAACTTTGTTCCTCCTTCGTGTCTGAAAATTCTAGCCAATGTATTCAGACAATAAAGAGACGAGAGATGTAAGTCTTGGAAGAGGATGTTAAACATATAATCATTTCAAATGATCTATGAATATCTACTTGGAAATTCTAAGAAAATTCTCTAAAACACTATAAGTCACTATAATCACTGTTTACTAAGGTTTTCCAATACAAAATAAACTTTCAAAGCTAATAGCATTTTTATATGCCTGAAGTAATTATGTATTATGTAATTGGGGAAAATGACATTCATAATTGCAATAAATAATAAAATATTAAGGAATAAAATGAACGCAAAATTTGAAAGACTTGCCTACATTAAAATAATTATATTTTAAGCCAGGACATTGGAGAAGACAATTTTTAGTGAATTTCCTTACTGTGTCTCTAAATGGGAACATTCAGTCTCAAAAATAGGTTATTTCTCTCAGATTAATATATAAATTTAATATAATACCCATTAAATATCACTGAATGTCCTAAATTTAATATTTCTCTCAGATTAATATATAAGTTTAATATAATGCCCATTAAATATCACTGAATTTTACAAAGCATTTCTAAAATTTATGCCCCAAATGCTGGAGTTAGCAAAGAAATAACTGAATAAAAGAAGTAGAGACCTTTTCTAGTATATATTAAATTATTATATAATTACAATGAGTAAATATTGATAAAATACAAATAAAATTAAAGCAATATAACAAAAACAATAACCAGATGCTAGATTATAAAAGAATTTGGTA